TGATGCTCCTCATGTTGGGGGCTGTTCTCTCCATCTCTCCATCTCCATCTCCCCATCTCTCCATCTCCATCTCCATCTCCATCTCCATCTCCCCATCTCCATCTCCCCATCTCCATCTCCATCTCCATCTCCATCTCCATCTCCCCATCTCCATCTCCATCTCCATCTCTCCATCTCCATCTCCATCTATCTCCCCATCTCCATCTCCATCTCTCCATCTCTCCATCTCTCCATCTCCATCTCTCCATCTCCATCTCCATCTATCTCTCCATCTCCATCTATCTCTCCATCTCCATCTCCCCATCTCCATCTCCATCTCCATTTCCATCTCCATCTCCATCTATCTCTCCATCTCCATCTCCATCTCCCCATCTCCATCAGGTCATCGCACACGGGGTGAACTCTTCATCTTCATCTTCATCTTCATCTTCATCCTCATCCCATCTTGCTCGTAATTCGCTTGCAAGCACGATACTTTGTTCTCCTGAATCCCTACCCCTACTTAGGAGTGCAATAAACGGGGTGGTGTGAAGTACCGGTACATCATTCCGATCTCTTAAATAGTAGGAACGTACGTGGGAAGGGGTGGGTGTAAGGGGGGTAGGGGGTAGCTGATTTGATCCAGAGGGGGTAGGGTAATGCGGCTGCTGGCACACGCGCATTGAGATTGTTGTTTCCCATAAAGGGCCTTTCATTGTGTTTAAAATTAAAATTTGTTACATAATTTCAATTTTTAGCTGAAAATATTCTGATTGGAATCTAATAGTGGGCTAAGGAGGAGCTCTGACGATAACAAGCCAACAGCGTGTGGGCGAAGAGAGGAGAGGAAAGGGAGATAAGGTTGCGAGAGAAGAGCCAAGACGATGAGAAGCAGATGAAGCAAGAAACAACAAGATGAACAGCATGGCTCAAGCAGACGATGTGCACAACTGCATGGCTCAAGCAGATGGTGTACACAACTGCATGGCTCAAGCAGATGATGTAGAGAATAGCATGCAGAGACAGACCGATGGTGGGGATGCATAACGCAGGAAGAGGCGAGAACAAGGATAGTGGTAATGCACATGACAAGGAATCATATCACGAGGATGAGAAGTGAACGTGGTGGCGATAACGAAGGATTTTAATCATGGAGAAGTGAAAGTTGGAAGACGTAGGTAAGGAGGAGAGCAGGTAGTCGAAAAGGTGATGACGATCCAAGGCATGCTCGCAGTAATCCATCCTGGGTTTGCCACCAGATGGTTCGGCTCTGAACCTGCTCCCTGCAATTTTTTTCCGCATTGTCTTGCGAGTAGTTGACTCCGAAATGAGCAGGGGCCCGCGAGTTGGGAGTGTCGAGGGCATTCAGACATGGCAGCACCGCTAGATGGAGCAGGAGTGGAGGACATCGACCTATGTCGATCCTCTCTCCTCGTTGAACAGAAGAGAATCTTCTTGAACTTGAGAGAGAATGCACGTGGACGGTACCTCCGAATCGCTGAGGTGTGTTGTCCTCAGGTTTTACCACCTGACATGCAACTCAGGTGACAGGAAGCAACCGATCTACCATCATCATTCCTTCTTCCGGTTTGATGCAACTTCGCAGCCTGCTCGACGAGTTCATTGAGTACGCATTTTACATGTTGAAGTTTAAAGCAGTGATGATCCTTCAGACATGACAACGGAGTGGCCATGGGACAACAGGCGATGCTTGGGGTTAGATCCATGGGCAGTTCTGGGTCTTTGATGACGTCTCTGATAGGACAACTATGGCGCAGTGGACATGAAGAAGAAGCCAGTCCGCAAGCCAAGGCGGGCTGGAGGCTTAGAAAACGGCGAAGGGACGGAGGGAGACGAAGATAGGAAAGTTTTCGTTGGAAATCTGTCGTGGTCCACAAACTCGGAGCAGTTGAAGAATCACTTCGATGTTTGTGGAGAAGTCGTCCGTGCTGATGTCAGCGCCCGACACATCTTGTCGCCATTCTGATACTGGCAAAGGTGTTCACGGAACGTTCTGGTCGCTCGCGTGGATGCGGCATTGTTGAGTTCACCTCGCCAGACGGGGTCGACTCTTGAGTGGAATCAAGAGGCAAGTGTGCTCACATGATGGCAGGCGCACAATGCCATGATGATGATGAACAACTCTGAACTAGACGGAAGAAGCATCTTCGTGAGTTCAATGCCCCTCTCATCATATCAGGCCTGACTCGCACATTGCTTGTGATAGGTCCGCGAGGATCGTGGATGAGACAGGCTTCATGGTGCATGAACGCATCTTACTTCCAAGGCAGGCTGGGGATAAGTTGTACGTTGAAATGGCGTGCCTCGAGTGTCAGCGATTGCGTGGTAGAGGAGCGTGAGAGGTCACGTGCTGGTAACTCGCATTCGTGTGAGCGGATGAGCTGGTCCGACCGGTTTTATTAAACAAGCGCGGAAATACTTGAGATCATCATGGTGCGTTTGCCCAGGTCATGCAAATTCAAGCATGCGTTGTTACGAACCAAGGATCCACACCTGCCAAGAAAGCTTGAATTCAGGTGCTCCTCATATGCCGTAGTCTTGCCCACGCCGTTTCCGAAAGCTACAATGCGCATGAAGCCACCCAGAGCTTTGACATCCATCTCGCTCTGAGAGTCATGATACAAGAAGTCGTCGAGACGATCCAAGGTATCGAGATCCAAGCTGACATCATGGGACTCGCTGGGGTTTCTCTCTTGCTCCGAGGGGTTGAGTGCTGTATGCGAGGGAGGCTCACAGGTCTTGCAAGGTCGGGCCTTGTCATCGGAGCAAGCTTGCTGGAGGATCTGCTCCAGAGTTTCTGAGTCCACCGGGACCGAGACGAACTGATCCCTCGAACCAAACCAGCGCCGGAAGGATCTCAACCACCATGAAGTCTCTTCAGCGCTCCCTCCTACTTCCACTCTTGCAACACCTGCTGTCAAAGCTAAAGAGACATGAGCGTCCAAGTAACTGTCATGGAACCCGATTGTCTTTCTGCTTCCGGCCCAAGCAGAATGCTTTCCCACTCGAGCAATAGACTGAGCAGAGAGAGCAATCAGATCAACTCCCTCGGACTCAAATGAAGCGTTTTCAACATGCTTCCCGTCACCTAGCATGCACAGAGCTTTTATGGAACCCAACTTTCTCATCGTGCAACCCTGGTAGAATCAAGTCTCACCACTCTGACTGCATTCTCCTGGTAGTGAGCGAACGGTCAAGAGGTGACGACACCAATTATGACTTGCAGACTAGTTTGAGGTACTGAGATTCGGACGAAGACGATGAAAGCAAGATGACACAACAAGGGAATAGACGCCAAGGATGAAGAAGCCTGGGGTTTCTGCGCCGCAACGGAGAAAAGTGGAGAGGAGTGGTGACGGGGAGGAGGGTGAGTAGGGGGTGAACCGCAGGAAGGGGAGCAGTCAGGAAGGGACGACTAGCAGTGTTGGGGAAAAGCAGGAGCAGAGGGAGGAAGAGGAGAGCGAGTAGGAGGAGAGCAAGGAAGAGGAGAGCGAGTAGGAGGAGAGCAAGGAAGAGGAGAGCGAGTAGGAGGAGAGCTAGGAGGAGAGCGAGGAAGAGGAGGGCAAGTAGGAGGAGAGCGAAGAGGAGAGCGAGTAGGAGAGCGAGGAAGAGGAGAGCGCTTAGGAGGAGAGCGAGGAGGTCGAAGGAGAACCAGAGGACAGTGGTGAGGATTATCTGAAAGGGGTCGCAGGTACAAGGACAATGGTAGGTGGGGTAGTGGTGGTACAAGAGGACTGGGGAGAAGGGGGTGGTAAGGTGGTGGCCGAAGGACGAAAAGACATCGTTTGAGATGCGATGGGGGGCGAAACAATCGAAAACACTCTATTTCAATAATTCAGTCCCCACACTTGAGGAGAGACAGTAAAATGTATTAGATGCTTTTATCTATAGGATTTTTGCTGTCTTTTATTAACTAAAAGACTGGTTTGTCGGCGGATCCATAGCTAGTTGTCGTGGTGACTCCTTTTGATTCTCCGCCTTCATGCAGCGAGCGATGCTGCTGCTGCTGCTGCTGCTGGCGATAAGGGCTGGGGAGTCTAGCTATGAAGGCCCTGGCTGGCTGGTTGGAGGAGGAGCAGGAGGAGGATGCAGTGTCCCCTCCTTCTACGAGGCGCTTCCTCGACATCGCAACCAAGACGTTCCGACAAGGTGTGGCATTGCGCGCCTCCCCTCCCATGTGTCTGGGGTTCAGTCGCGCTGCTACTTCAGATCCTGTCGATGTCTTGATGATCCAGCAGGTTGGAGGTGCTGCTTAAGAGCCCGCTCGAGCATGTGGAAGGATTCTCCTTCTGCCTCTCCAAGGCCGCGAACTCAGTCGTGCGTCTCCCCCTCCTCTCCTCGTCCTCGTCCCTCACCTTACTCGGTAGAAGGGCAAAGTTGCAGCTCTCGTCCGAGCCGGCGACGTGCAGATGATCGGAAGCGTCGACGACAAGGGCCAGGTAAGCATCTGAATCGTTTGGTTCGACTCACCCTTCTCTCCCCTTCTCTCCTTCCATTCTGCTTTTAGCTGGAAGCCGTCGCTGAAACCAAGGCTCTCGCAAATGGATTGACCCTGCGAGTCAAAGGTGAGAGGAAAGGGAACAAGAAGAACGTCAGGAAGCAGCAGCAGCAGCCGCAGCCGCAGCCGCAGCCGCAGCAGCAGCAGCAGCAGCAGCAGCAGCAGCAGCAGCAGCAGCAGCAGCGGCAGCAGCAGCTGCCGCAGCAGCAGCAGCAGCAGCAGCAGCAGCGGCAGCGGCAGCGGCAGCGGCAGCGGCAGCGGCAGCGGCAGCGGCAGCAGGACATGGCTGGGGGGAAGAGGAGGAGGGGGTGGGGTTCTCACTGTGCATGCATTCAAAGGGTCAAAATCGCGATCCGACGGAGCTTCTGCCGTCTTTTCGGCTGCTTACACCATGACAAGCCCACGAGCAACCGGTGAGGAGGATGAGGAGAAAGTGATGGAGGGCGCTGACAGAGGAGGGAGGGCACATCGCGTTCGACGAGTCGCGGCTGTTTGTCTCAGGTTGGAGATGCGAGGGAGAAGGAGGAGGTTAAAGTTGTTCTCACAGGAGTCGTTGGGACCCCTCGAGCTCTCTTTGGTTGCTGCATACCCCTCCCTCCTCCTCCTCCTCCTCTCTCCTCCTCTCCTCTCTCCTCCTCTCCTCTCCCCTCCTCCTCCCCTCATTCCTCCTCCCCTCCCTTCTTCTCCTCCTCCTCCTCCTCCTTCTACTACTACTACTACTACTGTTGTTGCTGCTGCTGCTGCTGCTGCTACTACTACTACTACTACTACTACTACTACTGCTACTACTGCTACTACTACTTCCCCTACACCTCCTCTTCCTCCCTCTCCTTT